AACAGGTTTAAAACTGCAATCAGCATGATTAATTTGATGCTCACTAAAAGTGATCGATTACATGTAAAACTAAGTTATTTGACCCACCCAACGCAACTAAATGCTTGGCATCCTTGAAATGCTTGTCAGCTACATATATATATATATATATATATATACCCAGAAGCCCACTGCTTCTCACGAAATCAAGCGTGACCCAAGATGGCTGGATACTAGCCGAGTTCTTTTTGTGAGGACGAGGCTTATATTCAGGCATCTTGACCAAACTAGCTAAGTCAATAGGGAATTTATTATGCAGCCAAAACATCTTGCTTTGATGAGAATCAACAATGACTTGGAAACAACAATGAACCGGGAACAAAGCCAACTGTGTTAGTAGCACAATAAACGCACGAGCCGGATTCGGTTAAGTTTTCTTTGTTTTCACTGTCCTTTGCTTGCTTTTGCGCCTCCGTAGCTGTCATTGTCCAAAAATTACGAACTTTGTAAGTCTGCTTCAAGCAATTTTTTTCTTTTGCGAGATCAAAGCGGGCAAGATGGACCCATCTTGCTCGCTCAGCTTGCCCACTCAGTTACCTAGTCAAAACGCAGGATTTGCTTCATATTGCCCTTGGACGTTGCTTACAATATAGTAATTACCCATTACCATAAAAGGGTTTAAATTCATCCGCGTTGCTCCAAAGGTGCGGGCTTTGTCAATTTTGAGGATTTCCTATGCTCCTTGATTTCCCCGTTGCAATGAAGGTTGCTCGACATCACTACACCATTGTCAGCCTCGCCGTTGTTGTTGTTCTTGCTGCTCAGGTTCCCCACTTTTGGACACGCGATTCCAATATCCATGCAGTGGACCTCAATACCCATCCCTTGTCGGGGGTACTCTAGGGTAATTTTCCGATATTCGCCCAGGCGCTTGCCAAGGAGATCGTAAGGCATGTCGTTGATGTAGCCGCACTTGCCAAGCCCTTTAGGTACCGGTGCAGCAAGGTTACCAGCCCGCTTTTGGATCATGGTATTCTGGCCTTTGTAGACTAGCTGCGTATCCTCCATGACAGGATGCCACAAGGACAGCTCAAGGTCGCTGAGGAGCTTTAAAATCCGATGGAACTCGTGCTGTGTGATCCAGCCGTTACAGAAAGAGAGATATGCACCAAAGCCCATCCCAGTTGCCACAGCATGACCGTGAAGCATTCCAGCAGGGAGTTCATAACCGGGACTCCATGTGTGACCATAGGCGTGCGGTCGGCACTGATGCGTCTCAAACATGTTACCGTACTCCGATCTCATGTAGCTAGAAATCAAAAAAGATAAAATAAGTAAATAGATAGCTAAAAAAATCAACAAATGCAAAAAGTAAAGCATGCCTTTGTTTCTTGATAAGAGCCTGTTAATTGTGAATAGTTAGCAAAACAATTATTAAAAATGGTTCAAACAATTTTTTCTTTTTCAGTTAGAATTTACATAGGGATTCGCAGTTTAATTTTGTTGAATGAATGCACACATTCCAAGGGCGTCGACGACTCTGCTAGTTACGCTAGAAAAAAAAGATGAATCATATAGGAAACTGCAGTGAATTTCTCCTTTTATGCCTGAAAGAGGACTCATGTCGATCATAGACACAGACAAACAAAAAAAGTTGTAGCCACACTTACTCTTCAAGAGCTTTGCCAACAATGAGATCACAGATATCTTGAAAAGCCGCGTGATTTCCCTCAAAATCCTCCATCACTGTGCCAAGTTTGGTCGACAAAATTACTGCGGCGTTCTGCTCAAGTAGGCAAAAGAGTTCTTCATCCTTAACAACCGCCATCTTAACTATCTCAGCAATGCCATGACGCATACAACCGAGCTTTAATGTGCGGAAAAAGCTTCTGTCAGTCAGTGCCAGAACAGGAGGATGATAGGAGCCAAAGAGGTTTTTGAAACCGAATCCATCACAACCTGTGCGAGGTGATAGTCCAGCGTCGATGGCGGCCACGACACTTGTAGATAGCATCACGTAGGGTGTGTTACGATGGTAGAGGGAGGCTGCACACGCAATAACGTCGTGTAATACACCATTGCCGACTACCAACAGAGGCTCGTTTCGTCTAACCCCCAATGTCTTCAGCTGCACCAAGACATCCTGTAAGTTGGTGATGTCTTTGTCAATTTCCTCCGCGGAGGTGACCAGCTTGATCAACTCGATAGAGTGCTCGTCAAAGTAGGCCTGTATAGCTGTACCATAGATATTTTCCACGTTTTTATCAATGATTGTCACGCACCTGGTTATCGGGGAAAAAACAAGGACAAGAGATTAGTCTAAGGATAGTGTAAAGTTCCAAAAGAATAAAAGAGATTAGCGCGAAGACTGTAAGTGGCCGTAACTTTGCCACCGCATTTTTCACATATGAGTGAAGGGTTGATCAGCATTCTTCATGTAACATGTAAGGCAACCTATTTCTTGAAGGAAACGGCTGACACTCATAGTTTTTAAAGACTACCAGTGATATTACCGTGGCTTTTCGTTGGGTTTGACTCATCGGGTGCGTAAGTACGCGAGGTCAAACTGTTTGAAAACGTAGTAAATATAGCCACCTGGGAATGAGGTAAAGGATACAAAAGGAAAATGAGTCAGGACTGTATAAATGAATTAATTAATTTTACTGTCAAACTAGCTGCCTGACTGACTGACTGACTGACTGACTGACTGACCGACCTACCAAACGTCTGACCAAACAACCGCTTGACAAAAATTTACAGAAAATGAAGAACGTTCCCCCCAGGAAACCCTCCTAAATATCAATTTCGAAGAACTATTAAACGCCAAAGAAAGTATTTGTTTCCAATTTAAACTTCCCTTCCACAATAGATTGTGCACATAAATTAAGCTCCTGATTAGAAAGTGAGAGACAAACCTTCCGATGGGTTGATATACAGCCCTCAGCTCTGGATTGGTTGGGTTCAGAACGTCATAAACTATCTTGGCAGTAGTCGTTAAAGTATATCTACTAGTGATGGCAACAACTGATGCGTCTGGTTTAGCAAGAACTTCGCCACTACATCTTCCATATATGGTGGTGGGGTAAATTCCGTGCGGGTCAAATTTCTCAAGATACTCAGCATTCTCTATGTAACATTTAGGACAACCTGTTTCTTGAAGGAAACGGCGAACAGCCATAGTGCTTAAAGTCTTATCCGCCGTCAACATCTTAACGACCTCGTTCCACCTGGAAACTTTGGCAGCATCAAAAGAATTTCTACAAAATGGAATAAAAGCAAGATGAATCAAGCCAGTGCCGGAGAAGCAGTAGATTTGGAAATGTTATCCCGAGCATTAAAAAATACTTATAAAAGTTTGCTTCTTGTCACGGTTTGAGATTCCAAATAGTGACTTAAACCGGCAGTTGACCACTGAAAAGCTGTTGCACTGATTATCTGCTTTTTTGCATTAACCCCTTACACCCTAACATCAGTATGCATATTCTCCATACTGTTCGAAGTACATTTCTTAAGGTGCTGACAAGGAGAATTGGTTTAACAATCTAGAGCTTCTATTATTCGTGACAATTTCCTTTTTTCTTGTGACCCCTACGTGTGATTTTGGGGTGATATTGTAAGGAGAAATTAGATGCTAGTCTATTAGTTGAAACCAATCGCCAAAGTAGTAAGATTTTCCTGAGCCACATGTAAGCGGCCAGGTTGCTAAGTAAATTCCAAATGGTTGTGTCCATGGTCGAATTTCTAGCTCATATTAGGACAATTTACAACAGGCCAGTTCATCATTTGGACCCCAAAATGCGGTTGGTGCCATAACTTTCTGAATAGTTCTAACGGAAGGGGGGAAGGGGTAAAAATATGAGGTTTCTGAAGTATACCTCTGTCTAGTGGTGTACCCTCTAGTTTCCTAGTTGAGAGATCGGCTTTAGGCTCTGGCCGGGGTAATTGCGGGCAAAACAGTTTTTTCCAAAATACCCCTCTCCACCAGGAGTATTAATGGTTGCCAGCACACCATCCGGAAAAATTAAATTAAATTTCTGGGAGGGAGGGTAGGGGGAGCCTGTCAGTCAGTATCATCGCAAGCTCGTCGCTTCATGAAATGAAACTTGGAGTACGTCGCGTTTTGATATTTCATGACTGTAGGTGTAATATAACTTACCTTTGCACAAGAGTAGCAAGTTGCTCTAAAACAGCACCAGTGGGTTGATTGTAGAAATACTTCAATTTTCTGATTATCAATAGGAAATCGATGTCATCATCAAATGATAACGAGAAATCTTTGGCGAACACATCAAGACGAGATGTATAAATAAGGAAATCGCTGACAGCCTGGTGAGCAAAGACTTTCAGGACCAAATCTTTCACATTTGGTGAAGAGGAATCAAAAATCTCTTCGGAGAGGCTCTCGATAGACTTGATGGACGAGTATATGGCATTCTACAAGGAAAGAGAAGAAAGAAAAACTCGTAAAACGGATTGGATTATTGAAAACTAAAATAGGAATATGTCATTCCGTAACAGCCAAGAACTATTTCTCGCAAGTATTTGACAATTCTGTTATTGTATAAATGAAACTCGTAAACATGTAGAGGGAAATTCTTCTTAAAGAGGGGGCCAGACTACTTGCCTCCTAAACTTTGCAGGGGGGGGGAGAGGACTTGGGTCGATTTTTTTCAGGGTGTGTGCCGATGCGCCGCTGGCCTCTAAGAACCCCTACCTCATTATAGTCTATTCTGCGGCCAATTATAGAACCCAATCTTGTCGTTTGTAGTGATACGGGAGCAAATTTTTAACCGTGAATCTTCTAATCTTTAAATCCCTGACCAGAATTTTCTTACTTCCAAAGTCCTGAAAATGTGCCGCCCCATTTTAGTAACTCTGTTGAAAATACAACCCCATCATAATCTAATCGTGAGAATGCGACCCCATCCAGCGACACATCCCCACTAGCTTATCAATGGAAAGGGCCTCCCAACCCATAGGTCATGAATCACCCAGAATAAAGGAAAACAACTGACTAGACAGCCTGAACCCTCTTTATTTAATATACCTTCTCGTTTTCGGCAGCAATTCCGGAACAGACCTCCAGTTGGTTAACATTGGGCGAGATGACAGACATGATTTCAAATGTACTCACTTTCCTGTTGTCACTTTGTTATGCAGGAAAATCTGCGAAGAAGACATGAGAACCAGGTTAGAGACTATCCAACAGAGAAAGTCAACAAACATTTAAATAAAGACGCAATGAAAAAAGGCTGAAGATGTGCAAGGGGATTGTACATGTTACGCATTACACATGATCACACCATGTAGTAATTACGTTTTTCGGGCTTCAATCCTTGCGATTGTTACGGATTGTCCCTTATCCGAGGGAAGTTGATGCGAGGGAAAAATGCACACAAAAAACCTAATCCGCAAAACTGCACCTCCGCGGGAATTTTTTGTTACAAGGTAATTATCATATCTATAAATTAGTTTGGTTTTTGATAGATGAATCTACTCAGCATTTTGGTTTTCTACTCTTATGAGAGAGATGTAGGCTTGTTTACTGTTTTAAAGTCGGCTTTGTTCGCAGCTTCTGGTCTAATTTTGCCTCACGAAGTCAAGTTTTTGGAGGAATGAAGCCGCAAAATGAGGCAATCGCAGGTCTTAAATGTAAGTCAGAGTATCACAAGGCAAGTATCGTAAAATTTAAGTGCCAAAGAGCAGAACTGTTCAGAATGGATTTTAAGCTTTTTTCCCTAAAACAATGAGTTCTCTGTTGAACGAGCTTGATCGATCTATATGATTCGATATTAGCCCTCGATCTTAAATACACTGTTACGTCCATAACACTTCTATGCACTTAAATATTATGTCCATAGACTGTGAAAGAACGGCCAATATCCTCCAGCCTATAGAAGCAATTGAAAAACTAGATTGCACATAGACTGTTGAGTCCAAGTAAAGGCAATAATGAACTTTTAAGAGAGTAGACTGTTTGTTCTTTCACAAGAAGTAGATCTCAAGGGATTATGACTACAATAAAATGTCAGATCTTGTCCACCATTGCTATGTTTTTTCTTTCTTTCTTTCTTTCGGTTCGGAGGGATATAAAGTACATATACAAAAGGTCTAATGGAACAGAATTTTTGTGAGGCCCCTCATCCATAGGAGACAGTTCTGAGAGTGATTTTGCGTTAAGTCTATCAAATAAACGGCGCGAAAGTAGCGGCCGAGGGAGGTTTGGGTCGGGTCACTACCCAAACGGAACCGCGAAATCTCGTCTCCTACCGTGTAACTAAAATAGAGGAGTAAAGGGGTAAGCTTCTAAGTAAACTATGGTGCTACGTCGGTGGGGGAGTATAACAAGATTATTTGCTTTTATCAACTGAGTTGATAATTTAAATTGGTGACCGCAGAGTTTCAAAGTTGGCGTTTTGAGTGTTAGCCTTAAGTCAGAGCGAAGGCTGTGGAAGGTCGACGCAGTATTTATTACGCAACACAAACCTCCCTGCTTTTTTTTTTCACTCCTCCGCTACCGCGTCGTTTACCACGCGCTTCGTTTTGCTGACTAAAACTAACTAAATGATTGGAAGGAATTGTTATGCGTCCGTCAGTGACTAAGCTGCATGGTCAGTATAAACTCTCCTCTGGCAAAACTACTGAAAGCGAGGTCACTTTTGAACGATCAGGTTTTGCTGAAGTGGTGAACAGGACTTTGAGCGCCGTGCTCAGCAAGAACTTTGAACTTCTGAAACACGTATTTGAACATTCATTAAATCGCCAGCTTTGTTTATTTTTAATTTAACTACCAAATGGCCAGATATGAGAGTCGGTACCTTTGGGTAACAAATTTCAGCTGAACTGTATTATTCCTGAGCCGTTGGACCTCGATATTTGAATATTTTAATGACATTCGAATTGATGCTCATCGGCATCGCTAATTCTTTTGTTTACGTCAGCTTTGTCGCGGCTTTTGTCTGATTAAGGGCTGATACCTGCATGGTGGAGTCGCAACGCCCTACTTTGAAAATAATGCAACGCATCGAATTTCCTTGTTACCTCAAAATACATTTTCAAACCCTCTGCAATCACAGTAACATTTATTGATTTTGGTATGTCTTATTGTTTCAGGACGAGGTTGTCTCCATTATGGAAAAATTGCCGACAAATGCTTTTCTAAAGGCTTAACAAAGCGCCCTCTGTCAAAGAATTTCTTAGGCCTCTTTTGTATGTTTACACACTGTTGTACACTTTGTGTTGCATTCGGGGAGTATTTCCCAAGTTTTTGAACTCCATGTAATTGCGGAAATTCATATGTGATGATGATATTATACAAATAAAAACCTGACAAGGGATGCGTAGGGGAAGCTGATAAAAAATTCAAAGCAATTGTTAAAAAACGTCAAAGGATTTGTAAGCCAAACTTAGAAACATAATTCAAGTGAATAAAAAATTATCCTGTCCTCTGCAAACGTCAATATTGCCACACTTTTTCCGCATACAGCGAATTCGCAGAAATTAAGTCGAAGCCCAGGTCTTGCTGTTCGTCGAACCGTAAACCTTTGTTTTAAAACTCTCTGTTGTGGCTGATAATATATATTGTTTTTTTTTTAACATTGCGTAATAATGATCAGATAGCTCCCGCGTCGCTGGAGATAGCTCCTGGAAATTTCAGTGCCGAATCCAATAAACTTGACGGAAAAGTTTAGTCTCCGTTTTAAGACCATGTTTTAACCGTCTCTCTTTTCACTTTCGACAATACGCAGTAACACTTGGTCAAACGACTTATCAGTGCCCGTTGAGCACTTGACAAATTTTTAACGAAGCGCAGATTCGCGGCTTATTGTTTGCGATACACTTCTTTTATTTTGATCGGAGCTGTTTTACAATGAATATTTCAAAGTGACCTTTGAAATACCTAAGCCAGGAAATGAAGCATCATTTGGGATGTAATGCGGCTTTTCCTGTGAGGATTGTGGTATTGCATCAACTCTCTGGTAACAATGATAGGTGACGTGTCCAAAGACAATAGACTTGTACATATTGTACTTTTCCTTCTTGCCATGAGAGCCTAGTCCGCGATTTCGAAAACCGTCTGTTTCATAATTAAGCTGAAATGTGATCATCCTGACTAAAGCTTTCAAAAATCCGTCAGTTTCGTCTCAGTTGTTTTTGCAATCTTAACCGCAATCCGCAATTTTGTTAACTGCCTCAGAACACAAACTTGTGTCTTAACGAGATTTAAATTTGATGAAGTCGCGTTTTCGAATATATCATTCATTCAGACGCACCCGGGTCACAGGTCACACCCTAATCTTGTTTAGGACGCTACCTTTCAACTTTTTCTTGGAAAAATAATTATAATTTAGTTTAACTCCGTCTAGCACTTGGCCTGAACGAACAAAGAATTATTATTAAAAATATCTGTAGATGTGTTTTCCATTCACGGATAATCAACCATACACAAACGGTTACGTAAGAGAGATGAAAAACGACCAACTCTACTGGACCATCTTCGAGGGGCAGTCGCAAATGAAAAGCCTTTACATGGAGTAATATCAATTCCGGTCGGTCATCACGATAATGAATCAATAAAAATTTAGTAAATTGCTTTCCTCGTGATCTGCACAGCATGGTGTTGTCTAACATTTGCAGTATTCCACTAGTTCATAATTTTTTTGTGTGTGGGCAGAATTTAATTTTACGCTCCGGTAACATCCTTCGATGAATTTCCTCAGAGTTTGTTCCATGTTTTGCCAATTTTTCGACCACCACAAGACTTTTTTAAGTTGCTATGCTTGCTGGCATTACGTAACTGTACAAAAAGCGATTATTATTAATCGCGGAAGCTAAAATACTCAACAAGTCAATTTTTATCAATAAATTTCACCTACCAAATAGCCGTAGTACTTTTGGGCTCTTTGTGTCCTTTGTGGATTCGACTAGGGACGATTCCAGGAAAATTATTCTCTTGTACAAAATGCACTGACTGAACAAGAAAGTACCGCGTTATGCAGTGGTGATGGCAGGAATGAAAGTGTAGTTTTCAGACAAGTCTAACATATTGTGCGATCACAATACGACACAGAACAAAGGAATAATAATATATGGACACAAAAACCGATATCAATTTGACTGGAATGTCAGACCAAACCTTCTGGACAATGGCGTCCCTCAAACCGGTCACGTAGCATTAAAACGAGGCAACACCGCAATGAATAACGGCTTGAAAATGAAGTAAGTTGCCCTCTCTTTAGAATACAGTTTTCTTCTCAAATCTCAAACTGCCAAAACCGTGAAAAATGAAAACAATAACACGAGGAGAAAAGTTGAAATAATTCTGCGTGTTTATTGTGGTGACGCGAAGAAGAATAAATCAATTGAATGAAAAGCACTAGTTGAACCGCGGGGATTTAGAGTGCCGATTTGAAAGATAAATTTTTGTCATAGAGTTTTGCGACACTCCGAACTTCCTAGATGTAGGGAAAGGCCTCAAACTGGCACATGCTTTTTAGAATGATTAGGGGAATTAAAGTGTCTTGCGACTGGTTTGAATGCGTCTTTAATTATTGTTTGAAAAACCGGTTTGGCGAGATCTTCCAGACCGAGCCGGCACGGCTGACTGGTTTTTTTATTCGGAAAGAGACCCTTTCATGAATGAATAAAGGAGGTAAATTTCTAAAGAATCCGTGGTGCTGCGTCGGTGGGAGAGTGTAACAAGGTAATTTAGTATTTTAAACTGAGTTGATTTAGTAAACTGACCACAAAATCGTTAGCCCTTCATAAGAGTGTTAGCTCGAAACTTCAGCTTTTAAACTCTTTATGATGGGCAATTTACGGTATCAACTCAGTTTATGGTACTAAATTACCCTTTCATGAATGACGTTGGTAATCCCAGCGAACAATTATTAATCAAAATGTAATCAAGCTTTTTTTGTTGCGACCTGCTTTGCGCAGAAGGAAGGACAAAATTTCAAACGCTGTGTACCAAACTGACTTAAGCGGTATAATTTCTAATAGCTTTGAGCGAACAATACAATCAAATAGCCAATTTCAGGAGTTATTTTGGGGTCGGGAACAAACACTAGTATGTGTTGTTCTAAAGGCTGTCCTTTTTAAAGCCGTTTCAGTGGTCTGTTGACCGATTAAGATCTTGGCCATAATGGTCTTTTAATCTAGTTTTGTTTTCAAAAGAACCACTAGAGCGTAAGAATGAACTTTGCTTTCCAACTCTAAGTAACTAATCATTCGAGCTGAGTTTTTCGACTGAATCTACCAAAATTTCTTGACTTCGACGCTGACTCAAAGCCTAGTTATGTTACATGAAAGTGCAATAGTTCGAAAAGAAAAGCACAACTTTCCGTCCGTTGAGTGGTCGGTTGCAGAAATGGATGGTTTGGCCCAAAATAGTATCACGAACTGGAAACTGTGTGACATGTGGTGCACCATGTGTAGCAGAAGCACCACTTGACGTAGACTCACTATGGGCAGTCCCGCCTTTTCGATCGGTGTAGTCTGTCGAGCGCCCCGATCGATTCAGCCCCTAAATTAGCATATCAGCGGACGTGCAGCGAAGCGGAACACGGCATTGCCAGGTCACTCAGAAAACATGGCGGCTGTGGAAGAAGAACTAACGGCTGGAACTTCAAGATTGAGTACAAAGGAAAAAATTGAGCGAGGAGTCACTCTTAAAGTGGAGGGGAACGAATATTTCAAGAAAAAAGACTACAGGGATGCAATGAAAAGTTATCATAAGGCATTACTGCACGTGAAAGGGCTTATCGATCGGCCGTTTGTATTTGGACTGGACTCGGCCGGGAGAGACATTTCTGAGGAAGACAAAGAACAAATTTACCAAGTTCAGTTTAGTTGCTACAACAATTTAGCCGGTAGTTTGAGGAAAATTTTATTTTGCTTGGAATGTTCTCCCTTAACACGCTGAGGCCTACCTTTACTCTTAATTCAGTTTTACGATTCATGCTTTTTTTTTTCTCAATTTAATGTCTCAAAAATTTCTAGCTTGTTTACTCAAAGACAATCGTTGGGATCGGACAATATATTACTGCAATGAGGTAGGAGGGTAAATTCTATTTCATGACGTATTATAACGAAAATTCAAGGGCGTAGATAATTGATTATCGGGGTGCAGGTCACCTTGCACTTCGTTAATTAAATAAAAAACTGATGATATCTTACAAAACCAGTGCGGCAGGTACTCCATTTAATTAGGGTAAAGTCTGTTATAGTCTTTCAAACTAGCATGTGGAGGGATTTCAATAGCCTTTGGCCACAAGGGGCTTCTGATGATGTGATAGGTGGCAGTGCTCAGAAAAAGGCTGTAAAGCCCTTTCTGCAGAGTTTGGCAGATTCACTCACAATTTTTTCCTTCCTACCATAAAATACTACAACAGAATTTCCATAGCATGCACAAAATCTTGTAAAGCTCTGCCATACTCTACAGACTAGCATAAGACAATACTCAAACACGAGAGCTTGCGTACAGGATTAAGACTGCTGTGAGTAAGTAAGTGAGTCTTAATGAAAGCTCTGAATGTGTAACTGAGGACTGTACTTGCTCCTTCCCTTTCACTCTCCTCTTTGCCAACCCCCTTCCCTCCTTCCCCTTCTTCCTTACTGGGAAATGGTTTATCTTCTGTTACACGTTATCTCATCCAGTTCTGGTCTATGTGCATATCAAAGTTGTTGTACAGACTGTCAGGTCTAGTTGCTTGTCTAAGTCTACTCGGAAAATGAATTGTTAGTTACTTTGATTAGTGTTAAGGAAAGCAGAAACTCTATCCTCCTGGGCCCAGTCTTTCAAAGGATGGATAAGGCTATCTAGTGGATAACTATCAACAAAATGTCATTTACTATCCATCAGATAGAGATTAATCCTGTAAATAGCTTTACTCAACCTTTGAACAATGAGGCTTGTATGGTGGTTTTTTTTCCCTTTTTGGTGGATGATGCATGGAACTGTGCAAGAAAAAAAAAAAAAAAAAAAAGATAGTAACTTTAAAGAGGTTTCCTTTTGAACATCTTGTAGGCCCTAAAAATTCAACCATCAAATGCCAAAGCCTTGTTTAGAAGAGGCCAAGCTTACTTCCATCTAAATGACCTTGAGAAAGCAGAAAGAGACTTGAAAGCTGCAGAGGAATTGGAACCTGAAGGTAAGTTGTGTCATTATGTCAGAGTCAATAGTTTATAACATATCCAGTGATCATACACATTTGAACACAAATTGTCATTATTTTGCCATCACCAATCATGACCAATTTTGAAGCAGCTTGAATATGCTCAAAGTCAATGCCATTGTTGATGATAGTTCTTAATTCTGTCTGATCACTGCCAAGCCAGTAGGTGAAAGCTAACATGTTGATGAATATTAAGACTGTAGTAGACTCGAGAGAAAGAAGACAAATAGGAAGAAGGAAAAACTTGGCTGTTACAAGCAATAACTATAACTCCCAGAAGGGATTAATATGTAACTTCTGCCCTATAATGCCCATACATTATCAAGCAAACAGATAATAAGAATACTCAAAGCTATCAGGTACAAGTTGTTATCTTGATGTAACACCAAATTATCATTAATTTGGCTGGGGGAAAGTAGAAATTCAACAGTTAATGCAATCAGATCTTCCTCACTCACAATTACTTATAACCAAAAAGGAGTTCAATATCCAACATTAATGGTTATCAGAAAAGGGAAGCAAATTCTCTTAAAAAAGATTGGTTTTTTAATCTGCCATGTAATTCTTGTGATGGTAGTTCAAGAATGACCAACAAATCCCCTAATTGATATTGTTCTTTATTCTCATCGCTTGTCTGCTTGATATTGTATTGATATTGTGAGGAGAAATAATGTCTTGGTCACTCACAGGAAATGTGTGGGACAAAGAAAAAATTCTGAGTCCCCATGAGGAATCGAACAAAACTTACCATCTCTACTATTTCTATCTAAAAAATTATGCTATCGACATTGCTGATCCTAGCAGTATGCAGGACGCGTGTCATATGAACTTCGTAATAGACCTCACTCACCATAGAGTCTCTGTGGCTCAGTGGTGGAGCATTGAAGCGCAAATCCGAATCTCTGAGGTTCGATTCCTCATGGGGACTCAGAATTTTTTCTTTGTCCCACGCTTGTGACAAGACGAAAGAACATCTTTCTTAATTCTGTTTGGTTCTTATTAGTGTCTTCTTTGTTATGTTTTCATTAGATTCGAGTATAAAGAAAATGCTGGCATCTCTAGATGTGGAGTTGAAGAAGATGAAAGAAAGAGAGAAAAAGATATATGCAGGAATGTTTGATAGGCATAACAAACCAGAATAAAAATTCTTTGTATAGAGTTTTTATAAATGCTGATTATGAGTGTTTGGTATTTACATTCCACAGACTGTCTATACTTTATGGTTATGAAGACCTGTATTTTTAAAAAAAAAAGTATTTTAAGTTAAGTCTTCCAAGTTTGCAAATTTTCATCATTAATTAAAGAACTTTATATTTCATTCCTAACTGAATATGCTGCCTCATCAATTTGAAGTCATTTGGTTTAACTCTTTACACCCTAACATCAGTATGCATGTTCTCTATACTGTTCTTTATACATTTCCTAGGTTCTAATAAGGAGAAATTGTAAAACCATCAAGAGCTTCATTACTGATCATTTCCTTTACTTTCGCAACTAAACATTTGATTCAAGGGATAGATTGTAAAGAGAAATTAGAACAGACATAGTCTGATGCTACTCTGGTTTGCAGATTTAATGAATGTAACCGAAGAAGTTACAATTCATATAAAAGGACCTCTTGTTGCAGCGTTTAGATCACCCCTGATGAAGGCACTAGACAGGAGTGTCGAAATGTTGGGTCTATGAATTGTAACTTCTTCGGTTACATTCATTAAATCTGCAAACCAGAGTAGCATCAAACTATGTCTGATTGTCCACCTGGTTGCCGTGTGAACTTAAATAGAAGAAATTAGAACCTTGTCACTCTTAGGGATTAAAGGGTTAAAAGGATTATGGAAAAGCTGAGCAGTGTCCTGGGTGAAGTAAAACAAGTGCAATTTTCACGTAACACAAGTGCAAAGTTGTAACAGGAGTGCAAATTACAAAATTCTGTCTTGACTTTATCTGAAGATTTTTTTCAGGTAAATTAGTAACAAGTAACAATATGATTTCTTCTAAAATTTGGCGTAATAAGCACTTGTAAATTTTTTGAAGACAACAAAATCGCACTCACCCTATAGGCTTGTGCAATTTTGTCTTTGAAAAATTTAGTTGTGCTTATAAACACTAGATTGCACTTGAAATCATGTTATTACCTATACTTATTTCTTTGTGGTCTTTTCACCTTCTGCCATTGAGTGATTTCTCTGACAACATCACTAGAACAGGTGAGTAATATTAATACATGTAGTTATCTCTTGTTTTAAGCTCTTTCTGTTTTAATAAATCAGAGTGCCAATATCAAAGTTATCCTAACTAACAGTTCCACCACTGAATCCAACTTTAAGCCTTGACAATAAAGAAAATAATTGCTGTCTGAAGAAGCTTTTGCTTTCTAAACCAATTCTCCCCATCAGAACCATGGGAAATACAGGACCATGCAGAGGCTAAGAGGCTGGAGTGTACATGGGGTAGAGGCTGGGGTGCACAGTGGTGTGTATGGAGAACAGCCAGGCTGATGTGTACAGAGGCTGGAGTGCACAGAGGCTGGGGTGCACAGAGGCTGGGGTGCACAGAGGCTGGTGTGTACAGAGGCTGGGGTGTACATCCAGGCTGGGGTGTACAGCCAGGCTGGGGTGTACAGCCAGGCTGGGGTGTACAGCCAGGCTGAAGTGTACAGCCAGGCTGAAGTGTACAGCCAGGCTGAAGTGTACAGCCAGGCTGAAGTGTACAGCCAGGCTGGGGTGTACAGCCAGGCTGGGGTGTACAGAATTAGAATGGAGAGAAGGAGTATTCTCATAACTTCCCACTGATGCAAAATAAACCAGAGTGATACAGCAAGTGCTCTAAAAACAGGTTTATTATCAAGCAATAGCTGACAATGAAATTGCAGCTCAATCAGATCTCATAACAATTAGTTCATTGCTATTTGAAACCTACAATAGACTTACTTTATCTCTGCATGAAAAGGCAATGGTGATACTTAAAAAAAAAAAAAACAACACTATAATTTACTGGCTAACATAGAACATACATAATGACAGCCACACAAAAGATCCTGCTTAATGTTTTCATCTGTTTCCCAATCCTGGACTTTCTGTTAAGCACAAATTTGCAACTGATGAAATTGAATTAATGAAGAGAATACATGTTACCCTAATTTACCCAAGTTCTCCATGGAAAGAGGCCCATTGATTAATAGCTGCCTTTTTGGGATTTAACACTGCTTACTGGCTCCTTCCTTCTACTTGCTTTACTCTTTATTTCCTCCTGATTGCCAGAGCTGGTTGGACAAGTTATTATAAAGTAGAACTCTGCTTCCTTTGGTATTATGGGATGGTCTTAATTCTTCTAAAACTCCTTCTATGAGCTTTTGCTGAGAAATGTCAAGTGGAAAACACAAAGTGGGTGAGAAGGGCAAGGAGTTGCAGACTTTCCTATGGTTCTTGTTGAGTCTGTTTTTCCCTATTAAGTAGCTCTGCAAATACAGGTTTATGTTCCATTTCACTGCCTTCCCCACCCACAAAAATTATCCCAACTACATGAACCTATAGGTCATACAAAATCTTGAGTCAATCTAAGTCCAACAATGAGATACTTAACACACAGTTTAGGTCACCACTACATGCTCAAAGTAAAACAATGCCAAGTCATACAGAAACTCTAGTCAGAAGTATCGCATCCCCCAACAAAATGTTCGTTTCATTGCTTCCCAGTAGTACTGTTTCCATCCACTTTTTGTGCGCTCAAAATCTTCCTCAGGGATGCCTGTCTGTACTAATGTCAACTCAGTACGGTCATCTTTCTGATCCAAAGTGATTTTCACTGTGGAGTGGTGTCCTTCAGGCCAGCTCTTGAATCTCCACAGCATTACTATCTTTTCCTCTGAAACCTGAGAAATTAAAACAAAATTTAACCCTTTCACTCCCAAGATCTCATTAGTAATTCTCCTTACTGTCTACCATACTGTTCTTAAGATATTAGTTCTGGGAATTTAGTTTTGGGCCAACTAATAACCCCCTTACCCACATTTTTCATTATTCTGGTCACTTGTCTGCTTAATTTTGTAAGAATATTGTACAGAGAAATTCTTAAGATAATTTTCTTTAAGTTAATACAATTTTCACAGTAACAGGACTCTATCTTAACTAACCAATTCCTGGAATTTTCCTGACACATTGCCATTAAACAGTACAAATGTTCCTCCACGACTAGCATCCACCTTTACTGAGCTCTGGGTGAAAGCTTCAAGTCTCTGTGGATGCAACACAACAGATACTGGGTTATTATTTCATGGCCAGTGCTTGACAGGTTGGGTCGTGAGCTCAAAAGCCGGGTGATTTACATTAAGTCTGGGCTTACTGGCAAACGTAAGGTGTGAAAAAACAAACATTAAAACTAACAAAGTTTACTTTGATGGACCAGTTGGACCAATTATTTACACAAGGTCTAACCCAAACTGCAGTTTGACATAAACAGAGGGACTCAGGGATTCTTGACACTGTTCACAAAAATAAACGTTCAGATATAAGGTTTGGCTTAATTGAAGAGAACTTAGAATGTGGTTTTGTGAAACAACAGCTTAACTTTGTTTTAATGACCTGTTCATTGACTTTTCTTTTCATTTGATAAATTCTTACTGAAAAAAATTTTTGTTTAGTTGTGAGACAGGAATACAGAAAACGCATTTCTCTGGAAAACATACTTTGAGTGTAATATCATTCTTCCCAGAATTCTAACAGTTAGCTTAAACATTGTGTACTTCACATTTGATTGATAGGTAAAGGAAATGTCGGTTTTTGAGTCAAGTGGCCCATCCAAATAAAATAAAGTCCTTTATTTGAAAACAGTAATTATTAAAGCTATAAAGCTTGTGGGGACATTTATCTAAGCATCTAATATGCTAATGGACCTATGAAAGTTTACAATTTGTTGCAAACCAAAGATAAACAGCCATTCCAAGAAGGGTAAAACTAACTAAACCTCCTGCAAATTGACGTAATTTGAAGGTTTCACTTTACAGGTGCTACGTGTAAAATAAAATCTTCTGATCTGAAAGTACATGGGGATGCAGAGGTCCAGCCAGAGCTTATCTTGCTGGAAGCAACTAGGAGTGTTACTAACCCACCCCCTCTTTCCCCTTGGGTGGGATACCAAACTTCAACAAGGTTACCCTTCAGCATTTCAGCAGGCTTCTCTGCCAATTCACTGATACCCATCCATACTCCTGAATGGAAAGAGGCACTGTGAAGGTAAAAGTGTCTTGCCCAAGAACAAAACACATTGACCATGCCAGGACTTAAACCCATTCAGAGTCCTGTGCACTTCACAAGTATTATGAGGCCACTGCACTACAATAGATTTAACTGCAAGTTTTACGAATTGTTCATAATTTCAGATACTTGAACGTTTAATATTCATCTAATTGAGTACTGTCAGTGGGTAAAGAGTTGTAACTAGTTCATGTACATCACCTGCTGTTCTGTTAGTGCTGCATATAACTCTTCTGCGGTTGTGAGAAATTCTTGCTTCATGGTCAGCTTTTTGGTAGAGATGGGGCAGCCAACTTTACTTGTATCAGCTAAATCAGTATAAGAAAACATCTGCTTAGCTCTTAGAAAGGATAAACAACTTGGCATGACTTCCAAAGAGGGTTGACCCAATAGGGGGGGGGGGGAAGAGGATAAATAATATTTAGATGGTCACCACAAGGAAAAAAAATTCAATTTTCTGTCTCTGATTTACTGATTTTCAACTACTAGAATGGGGAAAGTGAAATCAGAGGTTTACAAATTCTTAATATTTTGTTCTTAATAAGCAGATGATTTAAAAAAATTGGCATGGTGCATTGTTGCTGAAAATAAATTTGGTCAATTAAGTGAGGACGAGAACAACCCATTTCCATTCCAAAGGCAAAAAGATATATTAGTTTTACAGAAACATCAAGTATGTTAAAAGACTAACCTGACCAGGGGTTAATGTAAATTTTTAATTTAGTTTCATAAGACAAAGGGACCTATGTGTATTGCTTAGGTTAACACAGCCCCCCCAATCTTCATCTAGCTTAATCTATTATTCTCCACAGAAATAAAGAAGCTCCTTCATTACACCCAGATAGAGTGAATGTATTGACTTACTATCATTTTTATTTGTATCCCCTGAACCGGCTGAAAAGTTGTTAGCAGCTTTGAGTGTCTCATTGTCTTGACTGTTTGGAGATGATCTCTGCAAAATTGGGCTGTCTTTGGACGGTAGAATCATTCCCTGACTGAATTCTAAATGAAAAAATACAGATATACAAATCATGTAGAAACAAATTTACAAAATGTGAATTCAAGAATGTAGCTTGCCTATATACCCTTGACATACAGCTTAAAACACAGAGAGAGCAATGAATGAAACAAACAATTTGACAAATAAATACCGACAAGCATAGACACAGACAAGCTTGCAGACAATTCTACTGTGTACTTCCTTCTTTATCCAATAAGTGCTTAGTCCTGTTTTTTTCATTCTATGGATTCTAGTATCTACTGCTACTAGTACCATCAATGCATTGGACCAATCGATTATACAATATCACTCAAGTTTGCTACAGCATTATACAAGCTTGACCCTTGTGCAATTCTCATGAAGTGGATGTGCTAAACACCAACATCTCCTGTCACTACACACAACTGGGAGTAATAATATAGGCTGGGCTTATTGTCTTAACCCATTCACTCCCATGAGTGACCAAGACAGAATTTCTCCTTACAATATCAATACAATATCAAGCAGGCAGGTGATGAGAGTAGAGAAGAATATCGATCATGGGATCATTAGTTGATCCAATACCAAATTCACTGGACTAACATCATGAGAATTGTATGGCAGATAGTAAGGAGAATTACTAATCAGATCTTGGGAGTGAAAGGGTTAAGATCAATGACAATTTGTAATTTACATTATATGTAAGAAGCAAGAACCTTGTCTGAGTTCCTTGATATACTGCCCCAACTTCTCTCGGATCAGACCTGTACCAACAGATCTTATAAGTTGTTTTAATTTGTAACTTGCTTCTGAATCCTTGTCAGCTGTCACTATCACCTGCATATGCAAAAAAGAGCTCTGTCATGAAGTATACAGTTGGTAATAGATTGAGTATGTATAAGTGTACATGTAAAATTCAACCCTTCAATCTTTTTTTTTTCTTACTGATTCGGGTCCCATTTACAGTGTACATGTACTTCATGCAAACTTAAAAGACCTGAGTATTTTGAATCAACCCTTTAACTTTCAGGAGTGACCAAGACAGACTTTCTCCTTGGGGTTTCAATACAATATTAAGCAGAAAAGTGATGGGAATAAAAAAATCACCGAAACTTACATCATTTAACAGTTATAGAGCAGACAGTAAGTAGAGTTATTAATAAGATCTTGGGAATGAAGGGTAAAAACAAACAACAGCTCACATACATGTACACATTTTTTTCATTCTCATCAATGTGTGGATATAGTAACAAGACATTACTTGGTTTCTCAAGGGAATTAAAAGGTAAAGGCAAATCAACCCACCACAAATATGAAGCTTTTTAAAACACAAATTAAAACTACACAGCTGAAACTCTACAGACCATACAACTGTCCACCATAAACAAAATCCTAAGACTGTTTCATAAACTATACATTTACATTTACATGTGTTGGATTGGTAAAATCGTTAAGATATCACACAACCATCAAAATAAAAGCAAACAAATAAATAAATAAATGAAATATTATTATTATATTATTATTATAGCTGTCATCACTTAAAAACCCTCACACTAATATTATCATTATCATTAATATTATTACCATTCCATTGACTCACATTTACTTCATGTGCATCATTTTCTTCACTTAGATTTGGAATTTCTATTTTTCCTTTCCATACTTTGTCATCGTCTTTTATAGTTCCTGAATGATTAGATTGCATTCAAGAGATAAGTTAGCTTGTCATGACTTAAAGTAAAGTTGAGTTGGATACAGCCTCTAAACACAATTTGTCACACAATGTGTTTCCATTAACTAACCTGTCCATTCAAGTGTAATAACCCACTCATAGAAAAATATTAGTTTTGCTTTTCTGTTGCTGAAAAGAGCAAGTAGTAAGGCAAAAGTTGAGTAAACATCTCAAGCACCAAGTAAAATCAAGGCCTGAACAACACGTGGACTTACTTGGCGTAGGCTTCTCCATCGATTTTGGTAACCTCAGTTATTTTAGCTTTTCCTTAAAGCGAAAAAAAGTAAATGAAACTTTTCAAGAGAATTAAACATGACAACAGTAACAATATAGTCATGTGAATATGAATTGTAACTATAGTCTTGGTGAATTTTGATATACGTGATGGTTCCAATTTTTTTTCGGTTTCACTGTTTTTGAACATCAACAAAACAAATGAATCAGATTCAAAGACGATATCAGAACTGAAAAGTCGGCTTTTTGAAATTTGTTTTGTTGGTTTAATAAATTATGTCGCCTTACTTGAAGTTGATAGACGACCTTGACAACATTTCTCTTGTCTGTACTGTTGTCACAATACAACACAAAGTCGACTATTACTTAAACTTTTAAAATAAATATATTAAGAAAAAATCCGATCACTCCCGCAAGGTTCCCTTTTAATTTTGATTTTTTTTAACCACTGATCGCTTTGCACCTAAGCTTCAAATTGTCTAAAAAAAGTCGAGAGAAAGCAGTTCCGATTCCGTATCATTCCTCAATACAAATCCTACCTTCATCTGTTTCAATTTCTAAATCTTTTAAAAGTGACTTTAACCTTTCTTTGGACCAAGGAGTAGCATTCTTTTCAGTCCTGTGGACCATAAGCAAGGAAGAAAGTGAATGCTTGATCAGAGCATTTATCACAGAAAAAAAAAACATATATCTACATATACATGTATCTAGTGACAATATTATTAGCTAGCCACGTGAACTTAAAGTACCACATGCAACATTTCACCAAGTGTGATCGCTTACCAGTGCCAATTATTTACATTTTTGGCGTCAGCTCTCTCTTCTACGATCCACCTGGGATCACCTTCACCCCATTTAGCCATTTTTATCTGAAGAGAAAATAGCAAAAACCGACAAGGCCGGTGTACTCTTCCAACCTTCCCGGTTTCTTCTCTGCTCAGTTACGTCAAGGAGTGAGCTTCAGATTTGCGCAATGCATCATGGATGAATCGTGCCCAGCCGCCCTCGTTCCTCAATAATGTTAGTCATAAAAAGGTGTTTAAAGCGTCTTTTTTCCCGGAATACTCATATCATCATCATGGCGGAGGAGAACGGGATATGTCATGTGAACGGCGAGCCGGAAGTGGTAGATGACGATTTGCAGAACGGTGAACCTGATGAAGACGACAAAGGTTACGACATATAAAATAGCTAATAATTTTAGGAAGAGGAGAATTCTTTTAATGTGTCGGTTTATGTTCTGGATCAAATATTTAGTTTGATTGAACACTTTCAGTTTCGGTTTAAAATGAAAAGTTAGTTTACTCAGAACATCTTTTCTCGTTGATTTAGCATGCAAGGCTGGGGTTGTGAAAATTCGTGCTTCATTTACATTCATTGGATAGAAATTTTCATCTAGACTTTTGTGCTATCAAAAATACAAAACTCAGAATTTCACAATGATGTCGGGTCAACTCTACCATGTCTCGTTCGCCCTAGTAGTGACCAAGTTATAAAACGATAGGTGAAGGAAAGTAAACGCACAAGGCTAGAGGTCCATCTGGCCAGAGTCATTCTGGTTTCCCTAACTTGATGCAACCAGGAGCTCTTTGATTTAGGGGTGATATTCTAAAGAGAAATTAGATGCCAGCACTCTTAGGGATATCAAACGGTTAAGGCCACTATACGATTCTTATGACAGAAGCTATGGGACTTCTATATCACACAGGGGCCATTAGACTCTGCAAAAGTGGGTGACTATAAAAAGTTTGTTAAGGTAATTATTTTGACCAGAGTAACCAGCTACATGCTATCAAGTGGCCAGGGTAACTTGGGTAGTCACCTGCTTGTTTTGAAACCTCTGAATTGACAGATCTCCTTTAAATCTCTCTGCCACTCTGCTTTGATCCTTTGAAAGAAGGGACCTTTAGCTTATCAATTAACAGATATTTAATGCAATTTTTACTCTTAACTTTTTTTCCTTCAGAGTACGAAGCCCTTGATTTGGAGCTGGATCAAATTAATTCTTGTCTTGACAAGTTGGAGAACTGGAATGATTCCCTTCGGAGTAGAATGAAAGATATGCTTGAAACTATGCAGAAAACAAGAATAGAGAGAGAAATACAAACCAACCAGGATGATGGGCACAATGGCACGCAGCCCTGATTACATCAATTCAAACATCACTGCAATTTTTTTCTGTTTAGAAGAGCTTTGGTAGAAGTTATTTGTAGAAATGTTATGGTTTATAGGTGAATTGAGAATCATCTCAGTAATTCAACACATATCACACAGACTTGGTTTCTGCAGATACAACTGAGTACATTTTCAGATATTTAAGCATCATTCTTTGTTTTCATAGCATGTCATAAGCACTTGCATGCCATGGAGAAGCTTTTGGTATGACAAATATTTACTGGATTTTGCTTCAGATATTAAAATCAGAAAATTACAGTAAAAATGGTATCTTGATAAGTATATGTAATTCTGTAGAATTTAATCATATATTTACTTAGAATCATTCTAGTTGGATGCGTTTGTATTGAGAAGTGTAACAAGTTAATAAATTGAAGCTTATCACCAACATGTGCAATGACATTTTGTGTAGGTATGGTATGGTGTATTCAGTTATTACCCAGGAGTCAAAGGGAGCTGTGTATTTAATAGGCATAATACACCTGGATGGGGAATTATTACTCAACTCAAATGATTAAAGTTTTACTTATTCAAAGAAGGGAGGCCAAAAAGATAAGATAATGAAAACAAGCGTGCAATATCACCCCCAATCAAAACTATAACAAAATTCTCAAACGTGATTGGTTATCACCAGCTCAATTTGAGCTCTAATAGGACAGTGTACGTGTCATGCTTGTAATTGGACAGTGTTATAGAACAATTAAAGGGATAGTTAACACATCATGCCTTGTAAGTGGACAGAATGCGTCACGAGTGTGCCCTGATTAATTGATAACAGGACTTTGTGTTGTCCAATTGTCTGTAATCATACGAGTGATTTACAAATTGGACTCCCACTTTGCGGTCGTCTGATTTTTTTAATCACTCGTATGATTACAGACCAAATTGGACTCCAATCAGTCCTATTACCATTATCTATATAAATCTTGAGAAAAGGGTGTACTTGAGAAGGATTGGATACCAGTAAAAGAAATACAAAATGCCTCCATATCTCTCGATTTAATGAATACGATTCCACAATGATAGAAAAAGCACAATAATAAATAATTAAAGCGTTAGCATTTTCTAATAATTTCTAAGGATCTCGAATACAGTTGTGCTCCCCACTCCTCCCCACTCCTCCCCACTCCTCCCCACCCCTCCCCACCCCACCCCCTTGGCAATCGGTATTATCTATATTATTACCCAGGAATCTAAGGGAGCTATGTTTTGAGTGGGTTCGAGGCTGGAAAAATCAAAATGGCGCGAGAACGTGGTCGAAATACTTCCTATATTTCAGCCACAAAAACTTCAAAAAAATACCTTTATATTTTTGTATCGTTATTTATTCCTCTTTTCTGACTAAGAAAATGTCAGAATGCTGCAAAGAACTTCTATCAATCGTTGATAAATGTAAGGCTTGGCTGTTTAGCGGTATTTTATTCACCAATAATTTTGTCGATTTCACTGTGTTTTCTCCGCTAATGCTGGACAGTATTTAGGAGTGTCTAACTGTGAGATTTTCTGTTGTCAATCTAGACGACTTGGAAAATCCTGAATTTGGAAAAGAGGATGTAACAGAGTTAGTTTCGTTCGTCCTTTCGTGGCCACAACGGTAGGTAAACGTGCAGCTGGGCGATTTATACGTGGTGAAGACTGCCCACGGCGGACTAGCTCATGGAAAGCTTACGTCTTTTTCTGTTTTCTCTCAGGCAATGTAGGTGCATTTTCCGAGATCAGCTTCATTTAGCCCGCCTGGAAGATCTGCTTCAGAATCTTTTGAAATGCGCTATTGATCTCATATGCGAGCTTCGTGTTCCTGCTGTTGAGGACGAGAAGAAGGACGGAACTGAAACCAGCGAAGATCAAAACAACGGGAAGAAAAACGAGTGGTCACAACCAGAAAAGGAGAGACTGTTCCTTGCTGTGGGAAAGATATTTCAGCTGCCTCTTCCTTTCTATCAAGTGCGAAAGATTCATCTTTTGCGACAGGTTTGTTGCATAAGGTTGCGTGATTTTCTAAGTTAATCTTTATTATTATCTTTATTTTTTTGGGTGGATCTAATTTCTAAGACGAATCTACCTAATCAGCTTATGGGGTTTTTAACCGCACTTTCAGCAGTCGTTGGGGATGGCTTATGGACTCTATCCTCTTAAGCACATGATCTCATGTACATATAAAAATGGTTTTAAGAAAGTTTGAACAACTACAACTTTGTCGCAACTTTGAACCTCGCACATGTGCAGATCACACGATAAAACGGCATGATCTGTTTCATCTGCATATACATTGGATAACCTCTCATGTTAATTCAAAGTTTTGGCTCACACACTAAAAACAACTCACCAGGTTCTCTCATTTTGTAAACTGATATTATCTTTTTTCGTTTGGAAAAATCTTTCGAATAGCATGTAAGGGGTGTACATTACTCATCCTCTGGACTTGTGGCTGACATGGCTCTCTCGATTCGTGACCCTTCTGAGCAAAGTTTAGTAGTTTAATCCACTGACTTCATAACCTGTGCTGCTGTCCCTGACACAGTTATCCTTAACTGCTGAGATATAATCAGTAATTCTCCTTTTCATTTGCAGTACATTTTCTTGATGTGTTGTTAACCAAATAACTAACCATGACTGACCAAGACAGAATTTCTTCTTACAATATCAGTGCAATATCAAGTAGACAATTGATGAAAATAAAGAAAAATATCATGAAGGGGATTATTAGTTGATGCAATACCAAATTCTCTGAACTAACATCATAGAAATTGTAATGCAGACAGTGAGGAGAATCACTAGTAAGATCTTGAGGTAAAAAAGGTCAAGAGAATTAAGAGTTCAAAGATGACAATATCCTCCACCTGGGCCAGGTTGGTCGAAAGGGTGTTAACACAAATCAAGGATTGAAATATAGCCTTTAACCTTTTAGTCCAATGTGTAACCAAGACAGAATTTCTTCTTACAATATCGATACAATATCAAGCAGAGAAGCGATGAGAATAAAGAACAATATCAATTAGGGGATTATTAGTTAATCCAATACCAAATTCTCCAAAATAACATCACAGGAACTTTATGGCACACAGCGAGGAGGATTTCTAATGAGATCTTGGTAGTTAAAGGGTTAATTTCCCTTGAAGAAGAGTAATAATAAGAGCTACAGTTTTGTTGGGTTTTATTACCATATATCTCCAACTAACCGGAAAAAAATTATGTAAGAAAAATCCCTTTGCCAAGCTACAAAACAAAATTTAATATATACACTAAACTGATGTAGGTTAATTGTGCTTTGAACAACTCGGCCCTGATAATAATATTTTGTGTTACCTGGCTGGATCATTTATTGACCAAGGAGAGGTGACAAGTCATCATGTCAGGGATTGAATAGATAACCTTGCTCTTAGATTGCCTTTGCTTGCAGTGGTTGTATTTGGAGATTCACTTGTTAGGCACTTTTCATTTGTCTGGTGAGAATTCTTTTCAAAATGCAGCCCAGTTTTTGCAAAGAAATGTGTACTGCTAGACCCTTAGTTATCTTAATGTATTTCTAGAACTGGGTATGGGAGTTGTTTCTTTTCTTTGGTAATCAAGTTATTGGTAATTTTTGTAGGAAACAACAAGTAAAGACTGCTCCAAATACTGTGATGTGAATGTAAGTAAATTGTTTTGGTAATTAACAATCAGTTCTTATGTGCAGTTAAGGGAATATAAAGCATGGAGGAAGTTTTAAGAGCATGAAAGATTCAAAGTGCTTTGATTAATGTTTATTCGACTTCACAACAAAAATTTTGCCATAGTATTGAAAATTCTGAAAGTTGTTAGATTAAAAACAAATTTTCTGTTGCACACAATGCTTTAAGGTACCTCTACACTTCAAAAGAAAATTATATTTAATGGGTAAAAGAATACATAATTTGGATTGTGTTTGGAAATTGTTGTATTGTTCATTCTTAGCTTATGTAGTATTTTGCAATTTCAGGATGGGGAAGTACCAGAAGCTCTTTTGATCAATGTAGCATACTTCTGTGACCATGGTGGTTTATCTGCCATCAGGGAAGCATTTCAAGATGCAGATCCAACTACATTGCCATTTCCAATTGCCCATCACCTTATCAACATTGTTACTCAGGTAAAACTTATTGGATGCCCCTATTTCCCTCCAAAATTAATGCATGGCCTTGTGTTCACAGACACAGTGGCTTACTGATCAGTGGACTGGACCCCAGGTCAAGAGGTCTGGGTTCAAGACCTGGCAGGGTCACTGTGTTGTGTTCTTGGGCAAAACACCGTAATTGTGCAGTGTCTCTCTCCACCCAGGAGTGTAAATGGGTGCTGGAAAATCATCAGGGAAACCTGATGAAATGCTGGGGGTAACCCTGGGGAGAGTAGTTATAGTCATAGTGACTTTGTGCCACGTGGAAACTGAGACAAGCTCAGGCTGTGTGGGCCAGTAGGTTTGAGTACAGACGTTACTCTGACCTTGCTTTCTGTTCACTTGGAAATTTAACTGTGGTTAAGTGGTACTGTTACAATGTGTCCTTGAAGTATTTACCTATTGTTCCATTTATTCTTAATTCTCAATACCCACTCGTATTCATGACCTTTTTTAAGTTTTGGAGTAGTGTTTGAAGAAATGTGGTATGGTTGACCCTGTCCACTATCAACTATATTGTCAATCTTTTTTGTCTTGCTGGCTTTATCTCAAGCTTATGACTGAATTGTAATGAAAGAATAATAATTTAAGAAAAATAACTTTGTAGACCTTTTCTTCTGAACTATTTGCTTGCAAAAGTGAGTTGCTTACCCTAAAGCAACTTCATATTTAAAGTCTTGTATTTTTGTTTTCTGCTTGAAAGACTTGACACTCTAAGTTCAACTTCCCCACCCTAGCCATGCAAGGTTCAAATTCCCCCCCCTTGGACATGGACAACAGCTAAGTGCCCTTGGGTTTCTTGGAGGGGAGGGGAGGGGAGGGGAGGAAAGAAGATGTT